TCAATTTACAATGTAACCGGTTTAAATTTACCGGATATGTTGATAGTTTCGATACTTTATAAAAATCTATCAATCCATAACAATAAAACAGGTAAAAAAATGACAAAACCGGCCTATAAATGACAAAACAGGTAAAGCGCTATCGGATATGTTGATAGTGTCGATACTTTATTATACGTATCGACACTTTTGGAATTTAAAAGAGAATAAGTTATAGCGCTAATAAAGTGTCGATACTTTATAAAAATGTATCGATCCATAACAATATAACAAGTAAAAATATGACAAAACCGGTCTCGAAATGACAAAACCGGTAAAGAGCTACCGGATATGTTGATAGTGTTGATACTTTATTGTAAGTATTGACACTTTTGGAATTTAAAAGAAAAGATGTTATAGCGCCAATAAAGTGTCGATACTTTATAAAAATGTATCGATCCATAACAATATAACAGGTAAAAATATGACAAAATCGATCTCGAAATGACAAAACCGGTAGTAAAAAAGTGTGCTTGTGTGATCATTTTTATTTCAGAATTTTCATTTTTTAATACAAAAAGTTGGATATTTTAAGCAAAACCCAGTAAGAAAATAACAAAAACTTTGCAGTAACAAAAGAATAACATTGGGAAACCCACCATGTTATCAGTTTCTCAAAGAACAAAAACCGAGAAACAAACATCTCTCAACGCAAACTTATGATATACTTTTATTATCTCCATAGGATAAAGTTAGGCCAGTTTTAGTTTCTTAAAGAATAAACTTATGATTGAAGAACTCAAACTGGTGCACGCATAAGTGTCGATGCATTTATAAAAAGTATCGATTCAAAAAACATCGAAATCGATAATTATTATGTAACAGGTAAATTTACAATGTAACCGGTAAAAATATACTGGTTAATTAGCAAATAGGTTTACATTATGTATCGACACTCTTTAAATATGTGTCGATACTTTTTTCCCAAAACGAAAGCACAACGAGGTGCACGCATAAAGTGTCAATACATTCAAAATTGTATCAATTCCAAAAACATCAAAATTGATAATTATAATGTAATAGGTAAATTTGCAATGTTACCGGTTTAAATATATTTGTTTAGTTAGAAAATAGGTCAATATAAGCGCTACCTATTATATTATATAAGTGTTATCTAATATATTATTGTACTTGATAATATTTCCGGTTAAATGATATAACATAACCGATCCAAATTTTAACCGATCACTTGTTTAACAGATCATGCCGTTTTTTAGACGATTTTTAGGCGCCGCACAACAGAATTACCCTTTCCTCCAATGCTGTGCCGAATTGTTGAGAATGACTATTAGTAAATGCTGAGTCACCAGGCGGTTATGGAATATTCTGGATTGGGGACAGTTGATGCGCAATGTGTCAAAAGGCTAAAAAGTTATGAAATATGTGGATTATTTCTATTGGATAGATGTTTAACTCAACTAGCCTATAAAAGGGAGAGAATATCACATAATTCATACTTTCACCTTTTTCTTCTTCCAAATTATTTTATTCAACAATTTTTCCTTCCGATCAGCCAAGATTGCCTAGAGCTCCGCTGGTAAATTTAATTTTCAGACTTCTTGATGTGTCGCTCTACAAGAATTCTTTGATCTCGACATCTAATACGACACATAATATTAACAACTTAAGTTAGTAAGGAGTGACATCAATCATATCATACCATATCAATAACTTTGATATCATAGTGACATGTGCACACTTTTCACATAAAATACACTTATTTATGGCCGAGAATCGTCTAAAGTTGTACTTCTGATACCAAAAAATATAACACTCATTTCCTGTATACGTCTCCGTACATGAGTCGTAGATGTCACATAACTTTTAAAACATTTCCATACATAAAAATCATTAAAAATTGTATTTCTTTAGGTAAAACAATTTAATTTTATAATATTAAAAATATTCATTAACTATTAATATGTGAAATAGCGTTTAAGTCCATCACGTAGTAGTTTAAATTCAAATATAATATAACGCTACAACCATATATCAAATACCATTCCAGAGCATCATAATATAACTAATATATGCCAACTAGTAATATCAAAATAAACATATAAAGATGTCATAATGTTACTGATGAGACAACCCTTGACAATTGATATCAGCTAAACTCTTTACTCTAATTGTACGTTATTACTTACGCATGAAACAATCACACACTAAGTATTCACTTAGTGAGACATAATAAAGTAAGTAAGATATTTTAAAACATATGTATATCGATAAAGATCAAATACAATTTGAAATCGTATAATATATAAACACTTAAAACTGACTTGATAAGCCAAGTTTTCGTAAAATAACCTGTGAAATATTATTTCCATATGCATAGCATACTATCAATTGATGTATTCAAAAATACATTCACGTCCCAATGTATGACGATTGAGAATGCAAGGTACCAAATAAGCACATATGTGCCGCAATAACGTATAGGTACTGTGGTACACATCAACACTATACTAACTATTTTCGGAGTAGTAATCTCGTACGACTACCATCCTTGCACACATAGTATCATAGTAAAACAAATGTACTACTACAAGAACGTAATAATGCATTAAACAAAATCGATCGATAACCATCACACACCAAGTATGCAAATTACATATATAGTGCTATAGTACACAAAGTACTACTATAATACCACATTGTTTATGGTATTACAATTGCACCTATGACTCTCAATGTACATACAATAGGTTTTAAAATCCAAATCGCATATTAAACATTTATTTCAAACCATCAATAAATGATAATTTGTGTGCAACACATCCATTCGTTTTAGGGCAGTTCATATCCTAAAATCATTTTCATAAACTTTATGAAAATATTTATATATCAAGATACATTCAAAACAAATTTAATAAAAACACTCGATGTTGACTCATTGGAAGTCGTCCTCATATCATATAGGTACATAATAAATGCACTCACCTGGTATGACTCACTATTATGCCTTACTGCCAAAATTTGATTACTCATGAACTTTTTCCTTGCCTTTCACTTTGTTTGTATCTCGAGTTTGTTCACAATCTACACGAGCATCCATACAAGCACATACAAATATAAAATTACATGTTAGTATTCATACTAACATTTTATACATAAGAATAATACTCAAAGGTATTATTATTTTCAAATTCTTCTAAAGTCCATCTTAAATTTTCCTTTTTACTCATATTGGGCCCTTGCCAAAATTTCCTTCAATTCAATTCTTAAATAAGCCCAATAAATTCTAGCATTTTAAATTTCTAGCAAGCACCTCAACAAATCCTTTATTAGTACATAAGTCACAACTTTTCCAACATTTGCAATTTTGTACCTAAACTTTGCCAACTTTTTAAAATGGCTTAATTTTATATTCTAACTTCAATTTCATCCCCAAACAATAATTTCCAACAATGAAAAACAATTATTGAGTAATAACGCATTCATCCCATAACTTTTCAAAATTGTTAAATAGGTCCCCCAACTATTGAAAAATTATAAAATGGACCAATTTTTTCTAAGGCTTGTAGAACCTTCCTAATATCATTTCTAGGCCACATGAAATTTTTTACAGTTTCCCCCCAAAAATTACCTTGAGGCTGAATTCTATATGGGTTCAATCTCTATAGTTTTCACTTGATTCAAACATAAAATCAACCTCTAATCCTCATTTTAAAACCTCTACAATTAAACCCCTAACTTAATTTCATCAAATCATATCTTTTCTCCAAGATTAGGGTTTGACTGAAAGTTCATAAGCTCATATGGTCATGTACAAGTGATTTTAATCATTAGTCATGATTGAAAATGATTATACAACCTCAAAAACATCTAAATCCTTCATCAAATCATAAAACCCTAATATGAACATAAACTCTAAAATTTGGGATCTTTGAACACAAACCAAATTAGTATTCAATAATTGTACCAAAAGATAGTATTTTTTCTAATAGAACAATTTTCTATTTCACATCTTAACCCAAAATCCAAAGGAAATTGCTCAAAAATGAAAAAAATAAAGTTTCTCTTACCTTGGTTGGGACCTCACGACAATGGATCTGAAAGTGGCCTAACTTTCATGAAAAATTTAAGTCATTTCATATTAATTTAACATTTATTTAAGCTTAAATGAATAAAATATTCATTTAATGAGAAATTACCATTTTGCAATTAATGAAACTTGATATTTACCTTAATACTAATCCACATAACCCTTATCATTTTCCTAAAGTCAAAGATGAACAAATAATTTACCCTTTACCACTTTACCCATGCAAACTTTCCAAAATTTCAATCTTGTCTTTTTTCATCCAACAGTCCAAATTAAGCATATCTATAATTCATCAAATCCAATGATCAATATTATTTTCCATCATTTAAACATGTGAAAAATAATATTTTTAAACTTAATTTACCCTCCTTCAAAAATTTTCAAAATTTCTATTCGATTCGATTTACCGTATTCTTCCCATACTATAACACCTTGTAGTTTTTAACATAATTTCCGGATCAAACATTTGTTTTCCATAAAACCTCACTCTTAAGGGTAAACTATTTATTTACGGGGTCAGATTACCTAAATTTTTAAATTCCTTTTTTAATTCCTAAACTTTTTTAAATTTATACTTTGGTCACCAAATTTTAAAAATTTATGTTTTGGTCATTAACCAAAATTTGGGTATTACAGTCGTCGATCCAGTATCTATCCTCCTTGATCCGCATACTGTGAATCTATTTTTATTATATCAAACTTAATATTTATTTATATCATTATTAAATTATATCCAAGTATGAAAAATTTATTGGGGTAAATTATATCAATGACTAAAATAAAAAAAAAGGATCATCCTTATAGTTTACCCAATTTATTATGATGAATATAAAAAATATAGATTATTTACCATCTTGTCATTATCTCTTTAAGATATTTTTACGTAATTGAATTTAGATCTAATCTTAACAGCCACTTAATTTCCTCCTTAACTTCTATTCCTAAGCTCACTTCAGTTATTCTCCTCCTCACACCGCCGCAGCATGGCCGATTCCGCCGCCACGCCACTCAAAGTTATTGCCGGAGCTGACTCCTTCGGCGCTGAGCTAAAAGACGCCATGGTAGCCCACCTCCGCTCCCTCAACATAGAAGTCGAAGACCTCGGAATCACCTCCTACTACAACATCGGCGCTGAAGTCGGCCGTCGTGTCTCTTCCGCCACAACCTCCCCCTCCGTGGAAACCCGCGGCTTCCTTGCTTGCGGAACCGGCGTCGGAGTGGGGATCTTCGCCAACAAATTCCCCGGTGTATTCGCCACCACGTGTCTCACTACGGACGATGCTCGCAACAATCGCTCCATCAACAACTGCAACGTTTTAGCACTATCCGGCATGGCAACGCCCGTCGACACCGCAAAGGAAATCGTCGACACTTGGCTCAACACCCCCTTCAAATCGCCGTGCCCGGCGTCTAATTCTCAGCCTTGGTCTGAGGACATCGCGAAATTCTTCGATGAATCGATGAATGAAATGCCTAAAATCGGTGCTTCTGAGAAAACCGAAGCTGAAACCTGTGCTATTTGCTGTTTGGTTAAGAACAGGGAGTTGAATCCGATCGACATAATCCCTGGTGGGTCAATGAAGATATTGAGAGAAACTCCCACATCGGCTATTGTTAGATTTAAGGCTGGGAGTGTTGAACCAGCCCATCACCATACTTTTGGGCATTGTTTGGTGGTGATGGAAGGGAAGAAAAGTGTTTGGAATTTGAGTAAAAAAGGAAAGATACGATCTGGATGTTGGGGATTACTTGTTCACTCCAGCTGGGGATGTTCATAGAGTGAAATACTATGAAGATACTCAGTTTTTCATCAAATGGGATGGGAAATGGGATATGTTCTTTGATGAAGATCTTGAGACTGCTAAAGCTGCTATTGACAAGGATTTGGCTAATGGCTCTGCTTGAGAGGATGTTCATCGATGTATGCAATCTCTGTCTTGTGTCTCATAGTGTTTAAAATTCCATGTTTTCATGTAAAAATTGTTGGCCAAATGTGTCTGTGTTTTGTGTAAAAGATGTGGGTTTTATTGTGGTATTTTAGCTGTGCTTGTGTTCGAGTAATAAATATGGAGTCTCATAGTTTTTAAAATTCCATGTTTTCCTGTAAAATTGTTGGTCAAATGTTTGTGTTTTGTGTAAAAGATGTGGGTTTTATTGTGGTATTATAGCTGTGCCTGTGTTTGAGTAATAAATTTGATGGCTTTTTTGCATCAACATTGATACTTCCGTTTTACATTACTATAATTACATTGTGTTTTCTGATGTTAATTATGAAATAGATATCCATTTTGTTGATTGTATGTTTTTTTTATTAGTTTGGGGTGATTACAAGATAATATTTTTTAGAATTGACATTGAACACACACTCTCTACAGACAACTGTTCGAACTCAACTTTTAGGGAGAAAAACACACTTTTAATATTGAGGTCGATCAATAGGTTCTGTTGATTGTATGTTTTATGCTTGTAAATGGCCAATTTAAGCATGGTGATCAAGCTGGGGAGATTTTATACTGTTTCATTGACTAGAAACTTTTGAGATTGTCATAAAGTTGGTCTGAATACCATAGTTTTGATCTTATTTCTGAAACATTTCTGCTCTCAATAATCCGAAAATTGAACTTTTTTTAACTATAAAATCATTGAAGCCAGTGTCAAAAGTCATCAATATATGAGAAAGCTACCTGTTTTTCATTTGTAAACCCCTTATATAACTTCCTTGGGTTGCATAATCTTAAATGTATTGAGCAGTCATATTTGAGGAGGCTTGGGTATAGAACTATACAAATTAAGTATTTACACAAGGCTTAACTCATCAGGAATCTGTTGTTGAGATACAATTGCAGCAAGCTTCTTTTGCAGTGCCACTAACTCTTCCCTTGCATCACATATATAGGCTGATGCTTGCCTGCCAGATAAAGTTGCTCCTTCCGTGCTGTCTATATAATCCTGCACACAGTAATACCATTGTCACACACACACACACACACACACACACACACAGATATATATATATATATTGCGTTGCCTTCTTGCTATACAATTTCGTTTTTTTTTCATCTAGCAGAAACAGTTAGTCTTCTAAGCAATGCAGGAAGATAAGGTAGGAAGTTACCTGCTTTATATAAGATCCAGCAAGAAAGAAGTTCTTTGTAGGTGTCTTCTGATCAGGTCTGAATGGATCTTTACCAGGTCCTTCGCGATATAGAGATTGCCCGATTTTGACAACAGATGACCAAGTAACTTCTAAACCTCGGGACGAAGGGAATAAAACTGAAACCTGCCAACAAAACATGAAGATTAAAGGTGTGATGATGATGATGAGAGTGAAATTTCAGTAACCTTAAACAACAACAAAACCCTATTCTCATATGCAATGGGGTAAGAGGGAGGTAGGGTAGTAGGCTGTCTCAACGCCAGGTTGAGAGCAGCTTTCGTGGAAGACCTCCGGCAGTCAGAAAACTAAAAATAAAGATAAAATGCAATGCATGTATAAATAAATAAATAAATAAATACATAGTTGAAAAAGCCTGCATATGCAGTCTACATATGAGCGTTTGTAATGGGAATTAATCCCTGCAAATAAATCCCTGCGTAAAAAGGCTCTGCATATAGACAGAAACATAAGACCCGACTAAAATTAAAAAGAGGAAACCTGAAGAGAATGATACACAGAAGTCAAAGATAGCGAGCAACGAGAAGGAATAAAGTCAAATGGGTTAAAACCTAAACTAAGGTAACACTTCTCTGTTACCCTAGTTCTAAGCCTTCAAAAATTCCAATGACAGAAACGTATAAAAAGTAGAAGTCGTTGAAATTTCTACAAAGGTATTAAAAGAAGACATAGATGATACACCCTATGGATGTGACCTGCACTACTCGGCTACCCTAGTCTTAAGTCTCCATATTTTCCTATCATAGGGCATGTCCTCGATAAGGGCTAAATCTTTCAAATCAGATCTCAAGCTGTCTTCCCACTTTCTCCTTGGTCGTCCTCTCCTTTTGGCACCGTTGACTGTAATCGACTCTACCCTCCTGACCGCATCCAACAGTTGTCGCCTAAGGACATGTCCAAACCACCGTAGTCTTCCCTCCCTCAATTTTTCGGATACAAGCACCACAAAGGACATCCTAATAGCAGAGTTTGGTGTCATGTCCCACATAGTCCTACCACATGCCCATCGAAACATTCTCATTTCTGCGGCCTCCATCCTCCTTACGTGATCCTTCTTGATTGCCCAATATTCTGATCCATACAGCAGCGCTGGTCTTATTGTCATTCTATAAAATTTTCCCTTAAGTTTTAGAGGCACTTTCTTGTCACACAAAACTCCGGTAGCAGCCTTCCACTTTAACCATCCCGCCTTTATACGGTGTGTAACGTCATCATCCACACCCCATCTTTATGTATCATAGACCCCAGATACTTGAAACAATCATTTTAGGGGAGAACGTGTCCTTCTATGCATACCTCTACATCTTTATCATTTTGGTTCCCACTGAAGTTTGAACATAAATATTATGTCTTTGTAATATTGATCCTTAGACATTTTTCTTCCACAGCAGTCTTCCAAGTAGTCAGTCTACTATTTAGCTCAGTTCTTGTTTCAGCAATTAGGACAATGTCGTCAGCGAAAAGCATACACAATGGAACACCGTCTGGTGTCGCACAATAGATGTCGTCCATAATCAAGGAGAAGATGTAAGGGCTAAGAGCTGACCCCTGGTGGAGTCAGATTTCCACCGGGAATGCCTTGGTGTCTCCAACTGTAGTTCTAACGTATGTAGTAGATCTACAATAACCTTCAAGAAAACACCAAATAAGGTATGAATGGTAAATGACAGTAATCACAATGCGTTTGAGACAGTGGTGAAGAGGTTTTAAAAGAAAACTGCCACAAAGGTAAGTGGTTTCAGTCCTCTTTTGCCATTGAACCCGGACAAGATCCATTGGCAAGCCAAACTAGAAACTCTTCGGCCGACGGCCACTTGTTAACACATGAAACAGTTAACTAAACTAGCAGCTATTGAAGAAAAACATGAGAAATGATATAGCTCCTCTTAGAGATTATAGTTGTGTGCCTATGCAGATATGTTTAAGAATTCAACCAAATGCATGTTATAGAAACTAGTGGACCAAAGACACGAACATTGTATAACGTAAAATACGATATGTTAGGAAAACGATATGGACTTGGACAAGCATTTTACTCTATCAAAAAATGCAATCAACTTAAGAACAAGGTTTCCTTTGGAGTTACTAACCTGCTTTCCTACTCTCTTTATGATATCTTCATTTGGCAATGGCATGTGAGGGTCACCTGGTGTTAAGATGCATCTGAAAGCCACCGTCCAAACGAGCAATAACTCGGTTAAAAGAGAACATGGAGAAGTCTCAACGGTCCTATTACATGTAATCAAATTTTGGTCCGAATTCGTATCCAACAATTAACCTTGCACAATGTCAATATAAAGAGTAATAACACTAAGAAAAAAGCATGTCCTTACTGGAGCAATGAACCTTGCCCCTCAATGTAGTAATCTTCCGGAGAAGTGAGAGCTAAATCGGCAAAGCAAAAGAAATCCGCATCCGGAGTGTACAGGAGATTATCAAGGCCAACAGCTTGCCTCAGTTGCCTTTTAACGAGTCAAGGACAAATAAGGAAACGAACCACGATAAGCAATTTTCAAGTCCACAAGAAGCAAAAGCGGAAGGCTTTCATTAGGCTGTTAAAAGGAACACCACTTTATCCACAACCGGTAATAAAAATAAGATGAAAGAATTACCTTGACCGCTCCACATCCTGCAACTCCTTGACCCAGCCATTGTACCTAAGTTGTACGGTAACAACCGGCACTCCGACTAGCTCGTAAATGTCATTAAAAAATTGCATTTCCCTCCACTGGGATGGAAGTAGCCTTTTTATTCTGGGGACATCACATGCTGCCATCAAAAGATGGTGAGCACTCAAGTATAATTTCTGATCGGACCACTCAAGTATATATCCGGAGAACCCTTTAGCATTCGTAGAAGGGAAGCCTCAGTCTTTGTGGCAAACAGTGAAAAAATGGTGAGCATGCAACGAGTGCTTATGTTATCGCAGTCGATGAAACCCAAGGCATAAGCAACTGGATCCCACATTCTCTGGATACTTGTGAGTGTACCGCCTTTAGATAAAAACCAATCGGAGAAGCTTATCTGCAAGCAGAAAATGAATTTTAAGTACACAGGAAATGCATAGGGAAAAAGTACAGAGAAAATGCCAAGAACAAGTTGTTTATCAGAAAAGAAGGATACGGAGAAGAGCAAACATGATTGAAGAGTAAGAAAAGCATGAGGATTATGAAAATGGAACAAAGTAATGACATTTCATTCGAGTTCAAGTTTAGGAACCAAAGAACGAATGAGAAAGGATCATATATAGTGTAGGACACTTAATGCTATTTAGATGTTAAATAAGTATCTATTAATCTTACATACACTGTCTAAATCTCTTATATCGCTCATCGCTCCATCTGGATCAACAAGAGCCTTCACGACCGGACTTAAGGCAAGTGCCACGGCATTTCTTGCTTTATCATAAGTCTGCAGTTGGAAAAAAGTGAATAGAGACTATAGAGTAGCATAAGTACCAGCTACTTTACTTGGGGAATACGAGTAAAACTTGTAGACTATATAACTTAAGGATTCGGGAAAATGAGTCTTAGAAATGCCATTGACGATATGACGATGGCAGTAGCAATAATAATAGCCGAGAAAAGGATAGTAGAAAACCTTCAGTTGATTTGTAGTTAAAATGTCATTAATTCCATGCAAGGGAGCTCCAACTGGAAATCTAAAATCAAGTTCTGCATCCAAACTCAGAGCCATGAATTGAACAAAGGAAAGCATGACTAAAAGAATTACCATTTTCGTTCGATTCTTTAAAGTAAGACCTTAACATAAGATTTACTATCTTACAACTTGTTTAAACAGGATTTAATGCAAACCATACCACCAATTTCTCCCCCTTTGTTTACGAATGTGTGAGTATGATCCTTCACAAGTAGATTTTTATCTGCACCCGCTTAGAATCAAGTAGGGGTCAAGGAAAAACAATCAGAGGCCAGATAGACGGTTGAACCTATGTTAAAACGACAACACTATGTTACACGGACTC